TTTATAATGTGGGAACAGTGTTGGCTATATTTTCTACTAATCTATATAATTAATCAACGAGAGCAACATGGATCGAATGTTAATAATTCTATTAAAATTCAATTATGACACAGGTGCCGTGTGAGAAGTTTTAGTGGACAGCGTTTTGCCACATGTTGGGCCATACCTCAACTTAACTGAACTTACAGCGGGGGACCTGACGAGAGCTCATAGGTCTAATATTAATGAACAAATTCGTTATATATACTCGAAGTGAACACATTGACATTTCGGCCAATTATATATAATATATTAAAATAAAATGTATTTTTGTCCAAAACAGTGTACAACAAGGTACTCGTATCATCATTAAGTCTTAGAAATCGTTCTTTAGCGGACATTCGACGATAATTGCTAAAGTAGTATCTATACATATTTGTGTAGGTAAACACTGAAAAGGACCATCATTTAATGTAAGACGTGCCCTACTTTCTGTTCATTAAGCATCTTCTTAATTTGCAGGAATAACCACTGGCCAGTTGCTGTTTTAATTTTGGAACACAATTGAAGGAATTCCGATAAAAAAGTCTATTGAACGTCCGGGTCCAGATTTTGAAGGCTGTGGAATATAGTTGAGGCGCCAGATTCACCTTTATGAATATTGAATGTCAAGTGAAGCGGGCTGGATCTGGTCGAGTGTAATGTACCGCGGTATACTTCAGGTTGCAGCAGATGTGGTTAACTTCCTTACATCCAACTAAAATTTTATGTCATTTATAATCTGAATAAACGACTGTTTAGCCTTTTAGTTTCCTCACTCTCAGTAAGGCAACATTTGGAAAACGACTTTGGGTGCAATTTAAGGGTAGTCTGGCACACCATACTTGTCCAGTCCGTCCGAACATACTTTAATCACAAATTTCCTTGAAAGTGGATTTGGCACTTCAGCCGTAGTCCAATGGCCATCAAGGTCGTCACATTTAATTTCGGCTTGGCTTCTTTACTTAATATACTATGCTGAGCTGTTCAAAGTAAAACATTGATTTCCTAAACTGAATTAGCCCCGAACATACTAGTGGCTGTTCTTGAAAAATAAGCGGTTCAACGTATGAAGCACGTATTTATAATACTCGAATCAATTATCTGACATTTGAAAAATGTCACCACAGTCTTTTATAACTGCAAATTGAAAGAAAAGCAAAGCAATATTCGAATAACATAACTCAATTCAATTCAATTCAATTCTTTATTTGTATCAAGTAAACCAGCGTGTTTACACAAGTCAAAATAAAAAAAAAATAGTACAAACAGCAGTCTGACAAAAGACTGATGTCCAAATTAAATAGAAAAACACCAACTCATGACATTACCATTCGATAACAGCAGATACAGCAAGTCCATATAAGTTGTAAAAACAGGAGAACATATTATATACGTACATAGATACACGCATATTCATATAAGCACAATACGTATGTTTTCTTATACACACACATATATACATATATTTATACATACATACACATATATATACGTTAAAATGGCAAGACATATGAAATGTTATAAAAATTTACCAGATGACTTAGTAGATAGTTCAAGAAGCCTAGAGGATCGCAGATGTAGGAACCCTGTTATATTTTCTAACAATCCGACAAGTCTGAAAAATCATTGCTCAAATACTCGTTGATCGAGTAAAATGCCTTAGTAGTCAGATAAGCATTAATTTTGTTTTTAAAAACTTTCTCATCCAGTTTCTTTATACGGTCTGGCAACAGGTTATAAAAAACTATCCCATAATAGTTTGTGCCGTTCCTGATGGTTTGGAGAGACGGCTATGAGGTATTAAGATTTCATCCATATTTCTGGTTCTATAACTGTGGACATCACTGTGGGTAGTATATTGGCACAGGTTAGTCTTTATATACCTCAGACATGTGAAGATGTAAAGAGAAAGTACTGTCATGATTTTCAATTCTATAAAAGCTTCCTTGCTAGGTTCCGTGTATTTGTGGCTAGCAATGTACCGCAAGCAACGTCGTTGTAATCCAAAAACTTCTGACAAATGGGCCGAGTGACCCCAGTTTAACAATGCGTATGAAATTCTTGATTGAAAGTAGGAATAATATGTCAGAAGAAGAACTGACTGAGAAACATTTAGTTTCAAGCTCCTTATCAAATATATATATATATATTTTGCTAATGCATCGAGGACATGGATTACGTGAGTTTCCTACGACAAGTGTTCATCAAGGTAGACCCCTAGTAACTCCACGGACTTTAGTGTATTAGTGTCGTGCTGCCTCAAGCTAAGAAAAATCATCTGAGACTTGGTTTCATTGATGGTCAACTTATTAATGGCTAACCAGTTTGCTAGTTTTTTTTATGAGCCTCACAGTCGAATACCAATGAGGCTAAAGAGGGATTGATATTCATCAAGGTAGTGTCATCAGCGAATAGGATTAAGTTATTATTCACATTACAGTTAGTCATATCATTGACGTAAATTAAAAATAAAATAGGTCCTAATACCGAGCCTTGCGGTACCCCTTGAGCAGCGACTAACTGTGAGGATGATGAACCTTTAAAGAATACAAATTGGCGTCGATTACTCAAGTATGATTTAATCATTGCAGTTGATGCTTCATGAAAGTTATAAAAAGGGAGCTTTTCCAACAGGATGTCGTGTTGAACACAATCAAAAGCTTTGGATAAGTCCAACAAACATGCTGCTCCATATAGGTTGTTTTCAAAAGTCTCGTTCACAAACTGAATAACACTGTTAATAGCTGATGTGGTGGAACTATTTTTCCTAAAACCAAACTGTGTTGAGCAAACTAAATTATAAGCCTCAAAGTATTCATTAATTTGATCTTTCAACAATAATTCCAGAATTTTCGCAAAAATAGGTATTAAGGAAATAAGCCTGTAGTTGCATAGCTCTTCAGTATTCCCTTGTTTGAAAATGGGTATAATTTTAGATAGTTTGAAGTATTACTTTCTATACACTGATTGAATAACTTGGTTAGAGGATATATGATGTGAATTTGCAAGGTTTTGACAATCCTGACAGTAAAGCCATATGGGTTCTGTACTCTTTGAGTTTTTTAGTTTATTTATGGCAGTTCTCACGTCATCATATGTAACTTGCCTAAATCGAAAGTGTGAACTATGAGTAGGATGGTTCATATAATGCGATGGCGAAACATTGGATGGGGCAATTCTATTTAAAAGTTCTTGTGGGATATGGGTAAAAAAGTCGTTGAATTGATGTGCTGTGAGAGATGTTGAGGAGTCCTGGTTGTGTGCGTTCTATTTAACATTCTTTATGATATTCCAAGCAGCATATTGTCTGTTGTTCGATTTATTAATGTAGTCATCATTGGCTTTTATCTTAGCTTTGACAATTTCTTGTCTGTAACTGTATTTAAATTTTTTCACGCAGTCCGTACTAACTAAAGTAGCATCACCTTTGTGAAGTTCTGTTAGGAAAGTCAAAGTCTCTCTCATATTTCTTATATGATCATTGAACCAGTACACATTACAGGAGCTTTTGTTATCATTAGCAAGTCGCTATTTTATAGGAAGATGTCGATTCACCGAAATTCTGACAATAGATATGAATGTTTCAACTTTATATTCGATTGTCTTACTTTTTTCATTAACAAAGTCGAAAGATGTTGGTTCCATATCATTGTGAAGTTTGAAAAGGCTGGTGTTTGTTATAGATCTATAATAGATTTTCCTGCGTTCTTTCGGTACATGTGATAAATTAAAACTATAGTCAAGCGCTAAATGATCTGATTAATGAGTATCAAAAACATTAACGCTATTTTCTGTCTACGTAGTTTATGAAGATGTTATCTAGAGAACTTGAGTTGCTTGAATTTTGACTAACTATTGGCATGAAACCATAACAACTAAATAAGTTCACAAGCTCATGAGCTTGGTGTTGTAACGTATTAAATCTAACATTAAAATCTCCTGTAATCACAATTTGTTTGCGGTATCGAGTCCATCCAATAAACGACAAAGTTTCATAATAAAGTATTCAAAATTACCATCAGGAGATCGATACAATGAGATTAACTGAAGATCATTCACATTTACTCCGGTCGCCTCAAAGTGTAGTTCTTCTGACAGATTCAGAAGGTTATCTGATAGAGATACGGCATTAACATGATTTGCTATATAAATAGCCACACCACCACGAATTTTAACATCCCTACAGAAACTAGATACAGATCTAAAACCAGAAATATGATAATAGGATAACTCATCTTTTCTTAACCAGTGTTCATTTATAGAGAGCATTGTATATTTATTCTTTTCATACAGTGATTCGAATATTCCTGATTTAACAGCGAACTCCTTGGATATTTAGTTGTAATAGTCTAAAGAACACATTACTGTTTTTCACTGTTTTAACAGATCGTGGTTTAGGTATTGTATTATTCTGTTGTTTATCTTCCCTAATGGGTGCTTTACTTAAGAAAAAACTGTTTTTCAGACTTGTCGGGGATGTTGATTTGTACAGTTTTACATGCTGGATGATTGTCATTTTTGATCCCGGAATTCTTATGTCATAGAATAGGCTCAAAGAATAGTTTCTATTTAGTTTCCTGAGTCTATCGACTTTAGTATTAATCATATTTCTAAGATGATAGTCGACATATGTGGTCAACTCGCATAAAATAATAGGATTGGTTACTCGACCGAGAGGTAAGAGTCAATGTAAACCTTTGTTTAAGGATGGGGTGTTACTTATATTGTTAGAGTTGATCATGAAGATTACAAAATCGTTCTCACCAAATGGGGATAAACGCGAGCTTTTATGGAAAACTTTGTCATTTCGATGTATATTTCTAACACTTTTCTGAAGCTTTTTGCATATTCGTCACCAATTATAATGATTTTCCGACAGCTGTCTGAGGCATTACGTTGCTGTCGTCCACCTGATGGTACTATATCGATTATTGGTGCATCATCGAATTCTATTGCAGATTCTGCTGCTACTTCGCCGTCTAACTGGGGTATAGGGGAAACGATAAATGCACATTTGGCAAAAGTCGACGCTGTTTGATCGTTGTTTGACGCTTGTAAGTCTGGATTTCGTCGTAGTATTTTTTTTCAATTTCAATCACATCATCCTCAAAGGCCAATGAGCGTTTTTTCATAGAGGCGATAAATTTATCCTTCTCTATAATCTCTTGTTGTAATTCTCTTATTATTTCTTTGGTAGTGTTATCCTTCTCCATTTCTTCTTCACACTTTCCTTGACAAGTCGTACTACAGTATATCATATTATGCTTGGCAATGACAATTACGTCATTTCGTTTGTTGCAGCAACTGCGATGAAAAATTTGTTTACATGTTATGCACACATAGTTGGATAGCTCTCTGGTTTTACAACATTCGAAATAATTCGGTATCTTCGTTTCCTGTATTGTATCGATAAGTAACGTTACAACGAAATATTGTACTGTGTCGTATTATTCGTGTCGGTTGGATACTAGGTTTTATAGGAGTAGCACCTCGACTATATGTTTACTTTACGTACGTAATGTCTGGTGTATGTATTGTAGGCAGTGGTTTTTGGGTTATAAAAAAACTGTGTTCCTTCTGCTGTTATTCGATAGCTAGATGTGCAATCATACCTCTTCATACGAGAACTACATATTTACTTGAAGAGTCTGAAGTGTGTATGCATTCACTTTGTACACAAACTTCTAAAACACGAAATTTTTACAAACTTTTTACTATGTTTTTCAACAGAAATTGACACACACAGATCAGCCTTCAGCCCGTTTTCTGTTCTACCAAAAACGTTGTTTGTCATTGACCAACGTGCTTTTCTGACCAGCTGGCAAGGCGATCATAGTTCATTAATTCATGCTTGTTAGTAGGTGTCAAAGTCAGACGTAAGAATAATTTTCATGTGTGTTTCTTCACATTTTGTGTAAACAGTTACGCTGTCGGGGACTTTGCAACAAACTCTGAGTGCTTGCTTTAACACAAAAAATTAGATGCTTAAGACAACAAAGTTTGGTTATGCTTCATATGCGAGACTCCATATACAAAGCAAAGTTGTAAGACGATTAGTTTCACGTGCACGATAAACATTGTTCTAACACGATACGGCAAACTATACATTGGCTTAAAGTCATAGTAGTTCCACGTATAATGCAAAAATTGCTGACTTTATAGATTTTTATAAACGTTCACCGTAAATTCATTTTGTCATCTTGCACCTCTCCTACCCGAATCGCCAAATCGGGACACAATGACATGGTCATCTTTTTCTGTGAGTTGGAGATTTCCGAGTACCTTCGGGCATCGCTAAGCCTATCCTATCACTAGGAGAGCTATGCAAAAATTCCGATTTTCAATGCTTTTTCAGAAAATGTCTATCCTTCAAGACATTTCTTTACGAAAACAACGATTCGTGCAATTGCATAGAACACTCAATAACTGTCAAAAATATATACTGCAGTTGAAATGTTTTCTTTGGTTGGTGACAGCTGCGCGACTGCATACATGTAAATTTTACAAAAGAGTATTAAATATTCTACTGAATAACTCACATCGTAGGTGAGAATGATAAAAAGCTGCAAAAAGAAAATTCATAAACACTACATAAAGACCTGTAACCACATAAAATTTTCTAAACCTTCCCAAAACATTCCAGACAACCACCTTTTTGGACATCAAATGATGAAACTAGACTCTGAATACAGTCAAATACTTGCTTATTATTTCCTGACCTACACGCTCTGTAAACGAAGATCCCAGCTGTGTACATCAAACTCCTGTATTTATTCTCTTGAAACAAAACCTTGTAACCTCTGACCATCATGTAATTATAACGGTACAAACGACAGACACCCAATGTAGATAAAAGACACCATCCTGTATATGTAATGCTTGAACAAAGGGTATTCCGCAGAAAAAATTGTAGCTGTAATCTATAAAAATTACTCTTAATTACAGCAATTGTAGCGCCAAGTATTTCTGCGAACACCATGTTAAAGGCATTAACATTCTCGATGCTTTGTTTGGATGCAAATTTTGTAACAATTAGATCATATTTATTACATGCATTTACAAGCAGTGTATCCTAAAAGATGTTTATAATTTCTTATATGTACTTATTACAACTGATCCGTTGATAATTTCGTAATTTGCGCATTATCTACATGTCATCAATTTCTAAGGACTTTATGGTACTACGAATGTTCAAAGGCCTCCTTCCAGAAAATAGGAAGGATGCGAAAAGATCGATTTTTGATCAGCATCGGCTTTCTTCTAGCATGTCTGCAACAAAACCTGCCATGTATAAATTAATATGTATAAATGAACATATTATTGAGATGGTTAATACTCAACGGCACACATGTATGACATGACGTAGAATAGTTTAAGATGATACAGGTTTTTATTACATCGTTCCACATCATAATAATTATATTATGAAATAGTAGGCAAAAAGTGCGTTTATGCTCGATGAATTCACTTGTACCTGTATTTTGTTAATTATTCAAAAAATAAACGATGCTTATAGTATGCAACTCTAGTACTGACACAAGAGTCTCTATTTTGTAATCAATCAGAACTTATAGGAATGGAATCGGGCCTGTGAAGTTAGCCCCAAGAAATCGAGGCCTATTGATTTGAAAGGTTCTCAAATGTTTAAATACTACTACGGGGACTAACTACACACCTCTGCAGAATCGTCGGAGATGCTTCATCAAAGATAGACATAATTCCATCTAAGGCATTTGCTTTTCCCACAGATTTAAAAAAAGACAATTCTCCGATTTTCTTCAATATATTTATATTAAAATCCTACTTTGGGGACCAACTTCACTTGCAAAATCGTCGGTGATGCTTCATCAAACATAAATATTATTGCGTTCGTTAGTCCACTCATTTTTTAAAATCCTACTATGGGGCTAACTTCACACTCCTGATGCTACATCAACATGATCATTGCATTCGTTTGTGCACCCATAGCGCTAACTGCATAATCGTCGAAACATGTGAATTTGTTCGTCCTCCTTTCAAAGACAACATAAAATAGAAAACAAATTTATTCCGTTTACGGGCAGGTTCCAACATTGATAATAATAATAATAGCAATATATATATATAATATATATATATATATATATATATATTATTACGTAATCTCCAAAATGACCAATTAAACTTTGACAAGGAATAATACATGGAAACAAAATTTTCGGAAAATCGAGAAAGCAGCACTAACACCCAGTAGTTGAAGCACATTTCAATAATATTGGATTTCTCTCAGATATTAGGCTTACAAAGCGTTTATAAACTGTTTCCAGAATCTGCTATAAAAAGTGTCAACAGCTACGACGATAATACCTGAATCATCAACTGCTGAATAAATAATAAAATAATAAAAGCGGTAGACCCTAAAGCCGTGTACAGACCGAGATTCCAACGCAAGCCAAGACACATGTGGTTACAGATTTGGAGGTGTTCTTATCGGCGTGTACGGCGCGAGCCAACATAAGCCAACGGTTTCCACGGTCGGCGTTGGGTTTCGATTGCGTTCGCTATTTGATCGGTACATCAAAGGGAGGTTTGATTTGGTCTGGACAGAATTTGTTCCGCTTCAAGTGTTTAGTCGTTTGTCTGCATTAGATAAAAGGAGAGGCGTCGCTCGACATTAGCACCGAACTTAACCACACACAGTCCAACTCGAAACTAAATTTAGGTGCAGACGACATGTAGACGAGCACATGCCAATACCTTCCAACAACAAACGCCAACGTCATATGTGCTTGCATTCGTTTGCTCGGCGTTGGGTTTTCGGTCTGTACGCGGCTTAATACATGCCTTCTGCTAAGTATCAGTGCCGTGGCAACATACGTGCAAAAGATTAATTTGGTATAGGCACTTAGAATTTCCCGGAACACTTCCAGATGGTATGTATTTAGATATTTGGTTGACATGTAAGGGAGTATAAGGAGGAGGTTCTTGTGATGCTTTTTGCACGTGAGTATGTGTAGTGTCGGTGAATATCTGTAGCCTACGATAAGGAAAGTGAATAGGGCAACGTTCGTATTACTTTCTTAAAATTGACCTTCTGTTTCTTTCATCTAAAACATCTTGTGTGCTTTATACAAAGTTGCATAGTGATTATAATTGGCTTGTCAACTTTTGTTTGTTCAGGTGCGATTATATGAATTAGACGCAGTGTCGCGACTTCACATGGCTACACAAGATTAAGCCAATTACTGCAGTTAGAATTTGATTAAAACATTAAAGTTTCGCTCTTTACAACTTGCATATTTTGTTTCACTTTTCTTTATTTATACTCCAACTACCACGAAGGCCTAGGGCCTAAACACCCATGGGGTATCATGGGGCTAGAGGGGGGTGCAAGGGAAAGGTGGAACACCACACGGACTCTGGCAAGGAAACACGGGTGCATGCAACATGCACAGATTCTAGCCCGGCTTACAAGATCCGCCGGGTGGTACCACTACGTTCGACAGTCAGAGACCGTCTGCCACCTACGGACAATCACAACATCCAAAGCCAAGAGAAAAATTTCTCCTTGGAAGGGATTCGAACCCGCACAGCGCACGGCGACTGATCAGGAGACCGATGAGTCTACTACTGCGGCCACCGCTGCTGCCTATATTTTTGTTGCCGTGGTTGTTTCTACCACAAAATTTAAGAATGGCCCGACTTTGTAAAAATACAAGCAGTTGAGTATATGAGCTATTTATGATCTGCTGCTATTTTGCCGGATGAAATACTAGCTGTGGTTCCACATCTAAGATCTAACCTCGATACTGATTATTTTATATTTGTATTATAATGGATCACCTTTGCTTCGTCAGTGCTTAAGTATAAACATACAATAGGTATACCACGTCATTAACCCACTTGAGTGAGATGGTAAACGACGCAATTTCAAGTATATCGAAGAGTGATTGGTGCTGTACAACGTTAGAAAGCGTAGTAATAAGACTAAAACTAAAATAGACGGAGATGTTAGAGAGATTCGTCAGTACGGTGTGGAAGAGCTGCCTTCAGTGCTTGCTTGCCATCCAGTCTTGTGAATAGGTACAAAAAATGAGGTTACTAGATGGCCTGAGTACGTTCCAGGTATTGATAATAGTCTTTCCAAATTGCACACATCTGAATAGATAAAGAGCTTCATCACTGTGGAGCTACACTAAAATGACTAGTTAAGTCGAGGGATGTCAGAAATAGA